CCACTGCAAACGTGATCTTCCAAAATTCAGCCTGGTCCTTCAATGAGAAAGACCCTGGGTGATCCTTGTGCAGTGCTCTAACTTTCTCCTCCTGTACTCTGAAAAACACCACCTTAGAGAGCGAACACAAAATGCCCGTGTGTATTTAAGAAATTCTCCTAGCAGTTACTCAAGGGTCATTTCCTCTGCTCTTAACACAGCTGTAGCAGCTGCTGGAGAAAGAGAGAGACAATGAAAGGTGCTGGGAACATTTGCTGAAAGACCCTTTTCCTGTACTAGACCTGACTTCTAATTACTGTGGAAAAGCTCATCTTCGGAGTAGCTTCAGATTAACTTTTAAGGCAGTAAGTGCCACATGTTCAAGAACAGAATATAAGGGGAATCAGAGAAAGGAACAGGAATTTCCATGTCTGTGGTAACAGTTGAGGGAAAGCCCAGCCACTAAAGACTGTATAACCACAACTTCTTCATGGCTGTGAAACTTAGTGGTTTCTAACAGTTTGGGACCAATGCTTGTTCCTATCTTGGCATCTTAAAGACGGTGCCTTACACATCGTGTGAGGCACAATCTCAGCTGCAGATGCATGGTGTTCTTCATTGTGGCAGGTTCAGGACTTGAAAAGGACTGCCTCAGCCTGCAAAAGGCCGAAACAGGGGCTGTCTCTCACACATCCTACAAGTCTACTGAAGTTTAAAGGCCACCTTTATCTTTAAATAGAAAGATTTCTATTAAAAGGGGAAATGGAAAGAATGGTTCATCAAGTCCATAGGTTCTTTTAAGGAACTCACTGCTTCCCCCTTTCTGAATCATATGGAACACTCCTAACCTCTGGGTAAGCTAAGTGCTTGTCCAAAACGTATAAGAAATACATTTTGACGAAGAAGTATCAATTGGGATGGCAGCTTTTAACATTAGAGAAAAATTCTCTTCCTCTGAGACCGATACTTGTCCATCAAAAACCTTCCCAAAAGTCTAAACTTTGTTTTTTGTTCACGGACCCACACATGTCCGCTTAAAGTCCCTACGTCTGGTGGCCTGTATGTCTTCCATTGTGCCTCTGTTCACAGTTGAGAGTTACCCTTTTTGTTATTCTTCACCATCTATCACTTGAACTGCTAGATTGGAATCATTCTCCCAAACCTCTATCTTTGATCATCTTTTCCTCTTGAGTTCTCTGGTGCAGCCAGGGTATTCTTAAGCAGTTTGTCTCTCAGCTCCAGGCACTTAGTATTTTGCTGTGTTAGACATGATTTCCAAAGTTTCCCTCCACTGTTGTCACTGTTTCTAGTGCTGGGAGTGGAGCACTCCGGGCTGTCCTAGTGTTTTATACTCCAGTCCTTCCCAAAGGAGTCTTGGCAAACACATTTTCTACCTTGGGCATCTTCACTCATGGCAGAACTGAACCAGCAGTAGCAGCAGGATGAAATTTTAGTGGGGAAAATGTTGGTACAGTCACAGACTGCATTGGGGATAGCCTCAAATGAACAGTACTGTACGAAAATACATGTGGTGTCGGGCTGTAAATATCCCACCCTCTTTGTTTCTCTCTAAAGACAAAACTGCTATTCCCCACATGGAGAAGGTAAGTACTGCATCTTTAAGGTCTCAGCAGTGAGGTAGAGGAGAGGAACATATTGTCAGTGTTTATACCTTTCTTCTTTGTTGAATTTGGGATTGGCTTCAGAGATATCCAGGCTTTTACTGAACATTGTTTTACTATGGCAGGAACAAAGCGAGAAAACAGAGTTACTAGTGTGGACATTTATAAAAGAGAGTCACCTGAAGCAATGCTGGACACCCAGCCCCCCAACCCATCCTCCCCTTTTTAAGCAATGCTCTGAAAAAACCCTTTCTTTTACTTTCCAACTATGGCTCAAGCCTACACAGTGTTGAAGTTCATTATCTTCCTCTGACTTCCGAGGTCTAAGACGACTTCTCCCACACATACTTGTAAACCCTACTCTCCTTTACCCAGCTGAAAACCCAGATACCATCTACTTTGCCACATTGTCCAGGGAAAACAGAACATGCCGGAAGGCACAAATTGCAAAGCGCCCATTACTCAGACTTTTCTCAAAGACCTCGACACTAAGCACAATCTGGGAAGACGTTAAAATCAGACCACAGAGCCTCTCAGAGGAACAGTAATTTGTTTTTGTATTCTAATTTGTAGGGTCCATTGCCGCTTACTCCCAACTCTCTTCCCTATACTCAGTGGACAGAGAAATGCCCTTCTTTTTCAGCTTCACTGTTTCACAGAACACTGCTTCCAAATGTTAGCTGATCTTTCATGCAAGCTATCCACTGCAATAACCAGAAGAAAATGAATAGTTAATGAAGCCCATTTTAGAGCATTTTTTGGACTTTCACAGCAGAGCTGCTGAAAATTTCTGGCATATCCCTGAGGGATTCTAGCTCCCATGGAATTCTTCCTAGTCTGTGTGATTTTGGCACAAGGGACAAATTAGCTGGTGTTAAACTAAGCTCAGAATCTACCTCTTTTCTTTTGACATTTCAATGAAATACCAGATAGTCTAAGAGGTGTGCATGCCACAACAGCAGAAGCAATTAAGGTGTAATTATGAACCTGTTTAGTTGACAACTAGCAGAGAAAACCAAGAATTAACAAAACATAGTCACCAGTTTCAGGGTGGCTGGTGTTTGTGCATACTAACTTTGCCATATACAAAGACCCAATGAAGAACACTTGGAGAAGTCAGCACAAGAATTTCAAGGAGTCTGTAAGCTCAACAAGTAGCCTTTGTGCTGATTTCCCCTCTTCTATTATCCAAAACCAAGTCACCGAAGGACTCTGTTTTTCACTTAACACTTTCTCAGCCTGCAGGATTGAAGGCTGACAAGTTTGAAATCTCATGGAAAGATATGCACTTAAACAAGCCAAGACCAGACACTTGTAGGGTCCCCACACGGTTACCAAAAGCACAGGTCATCAAACAGACACATAAACCAGAGTTTGAAACATAAATCCCCTTTATGCAAGTAAACATCTGTTTACTACTGGGAAAGAGGACAATAGGACTAAATCACAAGACACATGGGTGTGTTCTGCCCACTGGTTAGAAGAGTATCTCTGCCAGCTCAAGAAAGAAGCAACGGCTCTGTGTCTCCAGACGTTTACACAGGTGTTCTGTATCTAAACAGGAGACCTGTTTCCATGGTCCACTTCCCTGTTTTCCTAGTATTGTGGGATAAAAACACTGAATAGTCATCTGTTGAGACCAAAAAATGTCATTCTTAAAAAAACATCCATCTCTGAGACCTAAGCCCTACTGCTGTAAAATCCACTGTCAATGGGTCATTTCATGGAATACAGCATGTGACTAGCCATTAAAAATCCCCTACTCTTGGTGGAAGGCACTTGTCATTTTGTTACTGACTGTTCTGACAGATGGGTGTCCCATCAGCAATGCATCGTCCCCAGACAATCCCCATGCAGTGATGTTCGTTAATGAAGCCAGTTCATGTTATAAATGACTGTGCTGCCAGCAACAAAAAATGTGCCGTTGTCATCTGTGGAGGTGGATGGTATGAATTATGGAAGCTCACACATGGACTAAAATAACATCTTCCCTTTAGCCCCTTCCAAAACAAGCACTACCAAGCCCATCATCATCAATCATGGTGTTATTACACCCCTTTTCTCCACCCCTCATCACACCTTTATGTCCAGCCCTGAGCTGTGGTATGCATTGCCCTGTATCTCTTTTGTGCCTGGCAGGTTTCACTTCCTCCTTAAGCCAAAGCCCTGCTTTACTTGTACGTAGTCTGGTTATGTCTCTGTGCTGAACTCACCTCAGGCCTTTTGACTTCAATCGTTCCCTCATGTGTAGAACTGAGTAAGACATTTAAAAGCAAAAGAAAAACTCTGGATAGCAAGACACAGCTTTGCCTCTTCAGACTGTTAAATCCAAAGTCAAAGCTGAGAGCTGGAAGAGCTGGTTTCAGCTCTCAGAAAACTTAGGGATCAATCTAACACCTCCTATTTGTTCTGCCCAGTTGGACACTTGCTGTAAATGGCTGCAGAGTACTGCAACTCACAGGCAGCCTTGGGGTGGGGAAAGTGATTCAACTCCGTCTGGGTCTGGGAGCTTCATGGCCCATGCATCTACCAGGTACCAGATTAAACACTGCAAGCTGAATAAGGAGTGAGCAACTGTTTGTCCATGTTGTGTTCAACCTTATCACTCTGAGGACTATGAGGAACACTAAGCGTACACTGTCCTGAACAATTCCTTCACCCAGACCTCACATCAAAGAAAACCACATATCCAAGACAGGTTTCCAACCTACACTACAATGAAAAATCTTTATGGCAGCGTATCTCAAGGCCACACATCCAGTCTGAAATAAGTCCTAGTAGATTCTGGAAATCACCACTTTTTCCTCATTGTAGACAGAACTGTAACAGTTGCCAGCAAAACTTTCGAGCAATTCTAGGGGCCTCTAGACATGAAATTATTTCACGTTATTCACCCAGTTCTGTCAGCAAAGAGAGCTTCTGGGCACAGCAGGCCCTTTTTGAGCAGATCTTAAGAGCTGAACAAAAAAATCATGTCATAAAGCTGAAACAGAAGCTACAGCATCATCAGCATACATATATGTGAAGTGTGCTTTTATATTGATTGATTTATGCAAGCGTGAATCCAAATGCACGTGCTTCCCTTAGGCTCGTCATAGGGACTGAGGAAGCAACTTCCATGGTCCACCTAAGTGAACTTCCACTGTTCACTTACTCTCCCAGAACCTGCCTTGAGGAGACACCATTCTCCTCTGCTGTTTCTCCACAAGACTGATGCTTTCTTTGATAGAAAAGAGGCAGAACTATACAAATTCCATCACTTTACATGCATGTGGTAATTTATGTGGGTCAGATGCATGCTGGCTCTGACAGCACATTTTAGAGGCATCTACAGATGTCTGGACAGGGCTTTCCAGATTCAAGCTGTTCTGACGACATGGAGACTGGGGTTCATCTCATTTAAATTCGGGTGCCCAAAAGCCAGGCACCTAATCCAAGATAGTCATCTAGATTCCTGTTGTCGGCTATGGAGACAGAGAGGAATAACCAGAGATCAGTTAATCCTGTCTGAGATTGCTGGAACAGAGGACATATGTATCTGACACCTTCCAAAGCCCTCATCTGTCCCCACTGCCTAGAGTGATAGCCTGTATCACAAGCTTAGGGTGAATGCCTATGTTCTCGACAATTAAAAAGAGGTGAGATGAATCTTGCTCAGAGGACGTGGTGGTTTCCTGAGCAATAGCTGCAAGCAAACAGAACCCGTAAGCCCCTGGCAACAATTCTGGTCCTGTATGCATAAGCGCTGCTGGCTGCCAGATCACGTTGCAAATGTGCTTGGAAGTTGTAATAAGTGCTGGTGCAAACAGAGAAGCTCCACAGCTCTTTTGTATGTATAACATAAAAAGGGGTAGCAAACCCAGACAGGCAGGACCCCTGGGTAAAGCAGAGACCCACCTCTGTCCATGTTGTGCCATTTCAATAGCTCTGCGAGCGGGGACTGGAGAGCCGCCATCTGTCACACTGAGAACTTCCATCGACTTCCTTTCTGGCCGCCGCTTCCCATGCCTGTTCAGCATTGGGGAGTCCACACGCTTCCTGGGGGGATCTTTATGAAAAGAAAATGCTGTCAGCTGAATTCGCCTGTGACTTACCTCACAAAGGTTGGTTAAATCCTCTCACAGCGATCTCACTCTCACACCTCCCCTACAGAGACAGATATCTTCATGATGGAGATGTACATTTGCAGTCTCTCCCTTCTTCCAAATTTGCAAACATTAAGACACAAGTTGCAATCCATCTACAGAGAGAAAGAGCACTGCTACTGCCCTGAATGTACGAGCACTGTAAAATAAAGGTAGAACCATAGCATACCTTGTAGAAATTACCTTACAAAGCTGATAACAGTAATAACAAGATGACAGCATGGGCTGCGGCACAAGCTGTTAGTCAGAGTATAAGCCATCTAGGGATCTTGTATATGTACTCAGGTTGCTAGAGCTTGCCTTCAGTGTCCCTGCTAGATTAAATGTGACACAGAGACACACGTACACTCTGAACTCAGAACTGCATGTTCCTCTGAAAACATTCTCTTTCTTAGCATCTTTAAGATTAGATTTCAGGTTTTCCCCACTGCTTTATATTTTCCTCCTTCAGCATTACAAATTAAACATACTTGTCTACCTGAGATGAATCTCCAATGAGAGCTACTAAAATTTATCTCAGAGGTCATCATATGGCTTTTACTGCTGTAGTAACTGAAGTGCTTTACACTTTTTATTGTGCAACATTTCTATGAGGTATTGAAGTGCAACTTTCACATTGCAGAGTGAAAACTGAGGTATGAGATATTTACAGGCAATTCTATCCTAAGGGTGCTGACAAACATTTACTGAGGTTCTGAGGAATACCTAAATTGCTTTGAAAGGAGTCTTTAGATAACAAACTGCATTGCACAAGGTGACTTGCCAAACTGTACAAACCTCCATGGTGAAGCAGAGAAGCAAATGCAGACCTGCTGAGATGTTTTATTCGTAATATCACTCATACCACTAAAAGAGTAAAAAGAAGGCAGGCAGAAAAAAAAACCCAGGATTTTCTTTTCTTTGGTTGGACTATTTCAGTTCCCTGCCTCTATTTAGAGACATGTTTTTAATTTTAGTGGAGAGTGACCACCTGTAAAAAAAAGGCATCCTTCACCCCTGCAGTTAGAAAGAAGCTCACAGTGCTCAGCCACTAAGGCTTTTTCCTCTGCTAGAACTCCTTTATAAAACCAGAAATATCAAATTTGACAGTTCTACCTCTACTGCCTAGTCTGATGGTATTATTTTCATTATCCTGCCCTCCTCACACCCCTCATCTACTTGCTTGTTTCTTCTCCCTTTCACATCATGCTTTTTTAGAACAATATCCCTTTAAGGTAGGGCTTATTCTTGAAATGAGCATGAGCAAAGATGGCTCAAATGCAAATGGGCTAGTGATAACAACTGACCCCATTACTGTATAACCCAAGTATTCTTTGTATTAATACTAATAATGTTCCTGTTATAAATTAATTAGAAAAAAAGCAGTTGTATCCCACTCCATTTCAAACTACATCCAGTAATAAAAAGGTAGTAGAAAATACTAATTCCAGATTAGGAAAAATATATAGAGCATAAAGTTGAGGGAAAAGCAAATGGAGATAAACCTAATAAAGCAGTTATACTGGGTGACTTCAGCTGCACAGGTGTAAGTGGTCAAAAGTAAACTGGGACAAGGTTTAGACATTTCAAACTCCTGCTTCTTTAAACAAGTTCAAAGAATGAGAAAAAATTCATCCCACAGAACAACTGCTGGTATCAGAAGTGTGACTTGAGCTGAGTAACACACATAATGACAATGTAATCACGTTTGGTACCAACTACAGAGAGCTGATAGAAGTTTTGCAGAGGGATATCAGACATCAGAAAGAAAGGTGGAAAAGGGCAGTTTAAAAGAAAGGAAAAAGAAGGAAGAAGAAGGAAGATGAAGAAAGCAGCTAATGTCAAAAGAATGGAGATCAGTAAGCTCAGGCTGCATCAATGTTAGCTAATAACAGAATCTAAACAAGAAAGATGGAAAAAGGCAAGAAAAACATTTTATGAAAAGATATTTAAAAAAGCAATTTGATCTAAGCATGTTCAAAACAGAAGACTTCAGCAAACGGAAATTCAGCGGAGTGACACTTACAAAAGTGACAGGCCAAATATAACATGGCTATTAAAAGACAGCAAAGAAGAAATCTGAAGAGGAATTAGTGAAAGACTTGAATAACAGTGTTTTGTACAGCCATCAGAAAGAGCAAGCTTGAGACAAGGACAGTAGCTAGAGGGACCATGGGGGAATCAACAGAACAATTACGGACGAGAAGGATATTGCTAACAAGCTAAATGGTTCTTTTATATCAGTGCTTGCTGCTTAAGATGCTGGAAGATATTGACTTCCAATCTATATTTTAAACTACCAAAGACAGAGACTAAGCAAAACGAGCAGGTAGTGAAACATACCTATAAATTCAAGAACAGCAATTCACAAAAGTTTGATGGAAAATACATCCAGAAGCTTGCATGAATGTGGTTGAGTTTCTGATAAAGGCATTTGATTCCTCTTTAAAACTGGCTACAATCCTACACTACACATGCCTGAGGGTAGCCAGTATTGTACATATTTTTTAAAATGGTCTGAGTAAGAAACGACAGTCTGTCATCACTTTTAAATCTAAAGATTCTAAAGAAATATTTAAATACACAGCCATCCTGCCACACAAACTGAAGTGATTTCATATAAAAGCAGTAGAAGATTTTATATCTTCTTTAAAAAGCACAGGAATTAAAAATAGGAAAAGCACAGGAATTAAAAATAGGAAAACCTCCAGTGTTTGCCCCTCTCTTCTTGACTCTCTGGAAATATTTCACATGCGGAAAAAAAATCAAGTCCTAGTCTGGATCTGTAATATTTTCGAGGCTGCATTTTCCTTCTATTTCACATCAAAAAAATGAAGCCATTCCTAAGGATTTTTACAGAGGAAGAGAGAACCATATAGCTAATGATTCAATTACAAAGGCATTCATCTGGGAGGTGGGAAATAGAGGTTCAACTTCTGAGTCTGGAGGAGGCACCTATATCCTATATGGCTGTTCTGGCCCAATCTCTTGTTCCCTGGTTTATTAAGAGACCCCACCCCGCAAAAGCCTTTTCCTCAAGGAGACATTAGTTGACATTCATTCATTTTACTGAGAAGTTTCTCATTTCTGCGTTTCCAGGTAAAGAAAATGGAGCTGGACTCGAAAGATGGTAAGGGTGCCCCTTCCCTGGCCCTTTGAGAAAGCTTCATTTAGCTGAAACAGACAAAAGGAACACCAGAAGAGAGTGCTAGTCTGAGCTGACCATATTTTTACCTGCATCCATCCTTTCTGACACCTAACATGAAAAGCAAGAGTAAAAAGCAAAATACTCTGAGATGCACTTTTTTTTTTTTTTGGCAAGAGCTCAGGCAATTCACAACTCTCATGAATATGGTTTCTTCAAGCTGCTATTATTAAATTTGTTACTTTTTCTCTACTCTTCTTTGTTTGTGCAAGCCCATTGCTAATGGCTAATGATGAGATATTCATCAGAAGCATGACTGCTCTTAATTAAACCTTGCCCCATGTTCTCAGAGATACTGCTGGGAACAGAGGAGGTGGAAACCCCCTGTGGAAGAGGAAATACAACCTACAAACACTCAAAGAATAATGCCTAAAGAGTCTAAAATGTGCCGATGAGGCACAATGATACATTCAGAGCACTGTTTCCCTGTTGGGGAACATTTTCACTCCTTGTACAAAAAACTACAAAAGCGGAGAATAATATTTCAGTTCAAACCATGAAAATACTTCACATGTGGAAGAGAGATACATGCTGTATTTAGGGCATAGCTACCTATTCACTTACGTGTTGGATATGAAGATTCTAGAGTTACCTTGCTTCTTTCTTATGACAAAAGCATTTCTAAAACAAGATGTTGGTGTCCTTACATGGCAGGGTAATCTGTTTGAGTCAAAAGCTGATCAGTGAAAAACCAGGTGACAAACTGCACTGAGCAAGGGGCTTTTGACTACAGGACCTGCAGTTGGCACATCCACCCATCTCCATCAGAATCCCTGCTAATATGCCCTCTATAGCTCCATCCAGGTTAGAGTTTAAAAATTACCGTGTTGACTAAGAATTTTCATCTCTTCTCCCATAGCAGAGATTTCCCTGTAAAATTATAGGGCCTGGAGCCTGGAACATGGATAAGGTAATAATCCAATGGAGTATTAACAAACTAACAGTTCAATATACCACTGCCCTGTAGGCTTTGGAGATTCCAGTTTTTCCAGTCAAAATAAAGAGCACTTTGCTTCTAGCCTTCAAAGTGCTGAAATACAACACCTGAAAATCACAACACTACTATGTAAAAATGCTGTTTCAGGTCATTGACAGAAGTGACTAATCCTTTATTAGTTATACTTTTGTAACTCTGCACAGCAAGAGTCACTTATATAGTTAGCTCCTTAGGGAAGCATTTTTCCTGTTGTCTAGATTAGTGAAGTCCCTGGCAATCAGCAGTACCATAAAATACTAATGAATAATTCTTCAGGAATAAAGTGGCACCACAAGAGCTTTATCAGATATATAATCTTACTGCATATTAAGCTTTTAAAATATTTCTATGATAGTCTAAATACATGGGACTTTGAGGTATGCACTATATACAGGTAAGTGGTGGTATTCATACTTTCAAAAGCATATATATTTACCTGCAGAAAAGAGAATGTGTACATACGTAACTCCACAGAGATGCAGTGCTACACAGTCTAACTAGCTCAAGTCCAGAAGCAGCATTTCTGCAATACTGCATGTAGATCAGTAATTAGAAAATTCTGCCACTAGACGATACTGCTTCTAAACCTCATCTTCTTGCACAGAGCCAGCTTGAGGGTCCACATGATATTTTTTAAGATCTGGTTCAAGGTCAACTTGGATGTTTCTGCACTGTGAGACAGACATGTCCTGAAAAATGAAGCCTTCGAGTTTAGCCACAGAACTGCCTGCCTCAGACTGAGGATTCTCACCAGTGCTGTACACCATTTCAGTGGGAAGGTAACAGTGATGCTAGGGTTTGGGTATATATTTAGAAAAAAAAAAAAAGGGAAGAAGAACTGCTTGAGATTGGTTCATGGTGACAGAGGTCATATCTGTAGTACCTATTTCATTTCTAGGGGGAAGATCCTCATCTTCATGACTAGGATATCTCTCCTTCCGGTCAAGTAGAAGAAAATAAATCATTTTCTCTTGGTTTTCTCTGAAAAAAAGAAAAAAAATCTTTAAATTTGAAGCGAAAAAAACATCAACGTGTAGATAAATCCTTCTCATCAAACAAACAGTCACAGTTATTCTAAATAAGCTGGAAATGGTCATGGTCACCTGCCACCTAATACACAACAAACAAAGCTTTTGACAACCTTGCCGTCTCCAAAAAGCAGCTAGTGAGAAAAGGAAATACGACTCCCATGTTCCACACAAGGCATAGGACAGATGAGGTAATGTGTCCACAGGAAGTCCAAACCAAGAGTGGCAGCAAGACAGGTCTCCTGAGCCTCTAAGCGCTCCTTCTACTACGTTTCCCTCTTAACACCTTAGGAAATACACCAGCTCTCAGGCATAAGCTTGAAATAAATAAAAATTTTCCAACAAAAGCATATCCAACACAAACAACAGCAATGATCTGTCCCCATCTGAACTGCATGGTCCAGCTTTTCATGAAGTGACCTTGCCTGGCAACAAGGGAAGTGATAGCACCATGCCTTGCTGGTCAGGCTGTGAGCTTCTGACACACAGTGCAAGAAAAGCTCAGTGCTTGCTCCCAACACCTCACTAGCAAATGAGCAGCCAGAGGGTGAGAAGTTGCTACTGGTCCCTCACAGCAAGAGACATGTTACAGCGATCTCTACCTCTCCCCAGGTTTATAAGCATCCCAGCCCATGGACACCCAACTGATACGAAGACTGAGCAAGTGCTTACTCTTCTGACAACAAGTCCTGTAAGAGTTTATTTCGGTCACGGAAGCAGCCTAACGAGTGCATGCTATCTAACACGTCTGGATCAATATCCTCCAAGGAAGGGAGAGAACGAATCTGCACCTTTCGAGGGATTGGTTGCTCTGGTTCTGGCTCGTTCTTACCCCCTCTGCAGAAGAAAGAAGATGAGAGAGAGAAAGGGGGCAGGGAAAGAAGGAGAGAAAAGAAACACGAGTCACAAATGAATCCATACTCTGAAACACAGCCTGCAGATGGAAATAGCTTGTTAAATTCCCACTGAGAGACCAGAGCTAGCAACCAGACAGATATTCTTTTTGGAAGAAACTGCCATGAAGGCTAGGAGTGACCAGCACCTTGTGGATTCAGGTCTTCAATGAGAAATGTCTGTGTTCAGCCAGAAAGGCAGTAGGAACTTCACTTACCAGTGCCCTCATAATTAAAGCAGCTGTTCAGCATCCTAATGCCAAACATTTATAAAACACTACACAGTTTTAGAGATGCTGTTGTATCAGCAGGCCAGACCTCAGGCTATCAGGCTGAAAAGTGCAAGCTGAATGATTATCTTTCAAAGAAGGAGCTGCAAATAAACCATTGCTGTTTTTCACAAATTCTGATTATAACCAGCATTACAGCAGTTTCATTCTATAAAGCTTTCAATGTGATTAAGAGACCTCAGTGTTCAGGTCATCACTTAACACACTTTGAAGGGTTTTTGGGGAAACCAGGCTGTTTATTTACACACCCAACTATGACAATCTCTGCTTCTCTTCAGACATGCAGATTTGAAAACTGTGGCCCAAGTGTGATGCCCGAGGTCATTGGCAGACCTAGGTATACACCATTACTGGTAGAGCGTATTAGTCTTTTAAAACTAGTTAACACAAGCTTTCTGCATAATTATCTCATCCCATTCACTAGACTCAGGAAATACTGATTATTTGTTGCAATTAAAGGCCCTGACTGTAAGAAAGAGGTCAAGGTGTCAGGGTATCTGCAACCGACTGAATGATATGTATTGCAGGCATGTTGAACATCCTTTGATTTTATTTAGGTAAGCTGGGAGCAATTTATGTAAACTCTATCCACTCGAAGAGGTGGGTTTGGTGGTGGTGGTATTTTAGTTGGAGAAACTGTCTACTCTGAATCTTAGCTATTTCTCAATGGATGCTTTGTGCGATGTCCGAGTTTTTATACACTTTAGGTGAGGTACTCACTTCCGATGCTGAGGTTTTCGTACTCCGTGGATGAGGTCCCCCCTTTCCTATATGTGATGTAAATGTGTGACTATTGGTTCCAGGCTCCCAGGGTCGGTAACAGGAATCAGGAATATTTAAAATGCATCAGATGTCAGTATTTGCTGTTTATGTGGCTGTGTTTGGGCACGAGATTCTTCCTTTTGATGCTGGCAGAAATAAGGTGAACACAACTTGTGAACTTACTCGCAAAGCTTAAAATGCTTTGGGCTTAGATGTGAGCTATCCAAGTATCTACACAGGAAAAGGAGCTTCAAGTCAAATGCCCCTAATTTTTCTTGGGTAGGTTAGAAAGCAGCTCTGGTAGGTTCATACACATGAGCTCAAGGTCTCAGCCAGCATACGAAAAAGAGAGCCAATGCAGATTATCTCCTCCAGGGTAAGAAGGCAATACTAACTCATTGCAGCCAGGGCTCTGATGCCAGGACAGGACAGTTACATGCTACACCTCAATCACAGAAGCTTGCTGGGTGCTACTTGCAATTTATTTTTCAGCAAGTTGAAATGCACTTGTGAGGCACCTGCTCTGTTAACCATGTTTGTGGGACATCACTTGCAGAAAGACTCCTCGGAAATATCTTCTGTTGTAGCAGTGAAAACATGCTCAGCCCTTCCTGGATACATGTCATGGAGTCAGACTTTGGTAAACCTTAGACGGGTCATGACAACATGTGTCAGATCCCACGTCTCTTACACTGAGCACTCATACACACCCTGCTCAGTTTTATTCAGTTCAGGGGGCTGGAAGCGGAATATAGAGGACGGAGAAAGATTCTGCTCCTTGGGAGACATTCTGGTGTGTCAAACCACTAAAACGCAGCTTCTGACACCCCCCTGGAGTCTCGCAGAAGTGTCTATGTCTTCTGCAATGACAACATGGTCCTGAATCTAAGGGCCAGATTCAAAAATCCTTGTTCTACTAAAGAAACACCTTATTCCCTGAGTGCCCTGTCTTTCAGAGGTAAATGCTGCTATGTCTTAGAATCAGGATTGAGCCCTCAGCAGGTAACAAGCAACAATTAGATCATAACCTTGCACTATTGAAGCCAGTGATGACCTTGTCATTAAGATAAATTCTTGCAGGACAGACCTTTGAACAGCAGCTGAGTGTTTTTTAATGATCTGCAGTTCACTTTTGAAAAGTATTGACTTAATCACTCATTATGTTACAAGCAGATGTCTTTAAGGTAATTTAAAGAGATTAAGAAGAATTATTGTTTTTGAAAATTTCCAACAAATCCGGGTTTCCTACTAGTCACCTTAGTCTATAGCAGAGTATCACCTGCAAGCTTCTTTTGTATCAATCAGCATGGGAGCCATTTCTAGAGAGCACAGCTTGCCATCTTCTGTGCACTGAAAAGAGGCTTTTCCTTATGCCCTGCACCTGGTCAGCCTCAGACATAGTCAGGAATTTTCACACTTCCTCATCAGGTACAAACAAAATCTGCAAAAAGGCGCCTCGTCCTTTGGCAGCCCAATTCAGTGCTTCAGGAAATGAAAATCACCGGGTCTGGGCTGCGATTGGCATGACTGTATTGCCTGCTCCATTCTCAGTCTAGCAGAGAGTGTCAAATTTGTTGCATTTCAGCCCACACACACATCAAACAATACCACACGATGAATACTGCAAATCACGTATATTTTTTAAAGGCCCGCATGAATGTAATTGCTGCTTTAAAACCCATCCTCCTTTGTGAGGATCGGTGCACACAATGGCTGTGATTCCAGACCAGGGAGGACTTTCTCAGTCTCTCCATGAAATTCCCTCGTGAATCTCACCAAGATGCACATCTGCATCAGTGCAAAGCAAAGCAGAACCAGTACAGTTATTCTTTTTCTGATTTTAGTAGAGTTGGTACCTTCACGATTAGGGCATTAGCTCCGTGTTATAGGAGTATGTATTTACAATAACAGCTAATTTTATTTGCCCTCTTGCTTTATCAAAAAAAAAATGGAAATAACTGCTGTTTATTTGCTGATTTATGATAACCTGCACTTGAGTTAAAAATAAATGATTTCAACTGAAAAGGCTTAAAAACTTTGCTGAAATAATTTGGGTGGGAGCAAGAAGAACTGGAGGTTGGTGATGAAAGTTTTTTCTTTGGTTCCTTTTTTCCCTTTTTTTTTAGGCTTGTGAATTGTGATTTCAACTTTCAAGACCTTTTCCTCTTCCTAGTCTGTAATTAAATATTTTCCTGTTTTACACTAGCCTTAAAATTTATTTGAAGAATTAAGTGAAATCACTTGTATGTTCTGAGTACAACTTTCAGGTCAGTAACCTATACGTGACAAAGAATGAAGATTTTACATAGAATAATAGTGTTACTTGAAATAAAGAAAAAATGAAAGATGGAGCAAAACAGCCATAGAGTAAAATAAATGCAAAGAGGCTGTGAATCATTACCAGATGAAAGTAGTTGAGTTTTGGAGGTGGCAGGGTTATTCACAGACGAAATTTAGCCAAAGGAGGTTAACCTTCTTAAGTCAACCCACGGCTAGTATAGAGCAAATGAGAAAGAGACTCATTAAAAAAGCTACTTTGAGCAGAAACTTTGTTTCAGGCAATCTGAACAGACTTCTGGAAGAGCCTTTCTCCCTCTGTATTAACTACACTGGGAGTCTAGGGGAGACTTGCTTTTGCAAAATTCAGTTTCTACTTCTGAAAACAGCCTCAGGTGCTATTTCTACTGGGGTAAAAAGCTGTTTACTGTGTCAGTCATCAGAGAGCCTGATCTTCATTGAGAAGTACATAAAAATGTTCCAACACTTATATCTGCAAAGAAAAAAATCTTCACATTCTATATCTATAATACAGTAATGAAATAACACCTGCCTAACTGTGCATGTAAGCCTGGGACAACAGTCCTCTGACAGGTGAAAATGTCCAGGCAAAAATCTTGAGCAGGTTTAGAATAACAATATTTGATCAATGATATTTAGTTTTACTTCCTATTCCAGTTCTGATCAAAGCACAGAGAAAGTCAGCTGATTTCATTCCATGAAGAAACAGAGGGGATCAGCTGTCCACTCTGATATAAACACTATTTACTTCCGGAATTGCTAGTAAGACAATATAGGAGGAGTATTTCGGAGATTACAACTAGAGATTTTTCACTTCGATTTCTCCTACATTTATCCGTGAGAGTTTGAAAAAAAATATCTGCACCAAACAACACTCCAGTCCTTCTTTGGTATAGAAAGGTGCCATATCAACTGGTAACTGTAGAGTACATGAAAAAGCCATGGGCAGAGTGCTGCCACCATTTCAGGTGAACTAAGAAAAAAACATGTAATTCGACAAACTGTTGAATGCCCTCAGGTCCCATCGAAGTCAGATAAATCCAGAAGCGAACATTGCCCATAAGATAGAATAAGAGAAAACAAAACAAATCAAAACAAAGGTGTATTTTTTTTCCTGGTGACAGGCTTAAATATCAGTTCATATCATCCTCAAGTATTTCCCAAGAGCAATGATAGGATTATGAAGGCAGGACTTTCCTTATCACCCACCTGGGGAACCTGTATGGTGACCCTGAGAAGCATGTACCAAAGCATGACTTCCTTGTTTAATATGTGAAGTATTCTCCTTAGTTTGATTAAGTTATCATCAGTATAAAAAAAAAAGGTCATTTACTTAGGTTTCTTGAAATACTATTGAGGCTACACGAAGTGCAAGGTCACTTTTAAAAGCCATCAATCTTCCTTATACCCAAACCACTAGACAGCCACGTACTTTCCTCACAGACCTCCTGTTTCACTGTCAAGACTGCTGCTTTTAATCAGGTCACAGGACTACTCTCACATCAACAGGTTACAAGGTCAGAAGCAGCCTCTTAGCTTGCTGCGAAGGAGCAGGGATTATGAGACAGAAAAGCTCTTGTTCACAGGTGCTTACTTATCACTTTTGTTTCTACTTCAGAGGAAAGCCAAGACGCCAAGAAGGAACAAACGAAAGCTTTCTTGTCAAGAAGGTATTACAAGGGATTGTCTGTAGCAGTTGGATAGCACACTAAATATGGCTGTTAGTTGGGGGGTTTTTTGCTGATCGTTTGCAGGTATCTTTTTAACACAGCAAGTTGCTGGACTGAATGTCTTATTTCAAACAATTGTTAGCCACTGTATAAAAAGCTCTTGGCTTGATACATAGATAGATGAAATGATATGAGTAGCAAAGGGTAAAAAATACATTAGATGCCTTTCTGTCCTCTGTCCCTTTCTCCAACTGCATGAAAGCTGCTTTCGAACTCTAGTCTCTCTCTTCAGAGATCACTAGAATACCAGCTCCCGTAACAGAACCAATAATGAATGCATGCAGAAGCGAATTTAAAAAGTGTTACTTACATATACCATATGTGTTTCTGAATATGTTCTAGCTGTGAAGCAGAAGAAAACAAGGAATTAGTGCTGTAAAACAGAAAGACATCCTTATTCCAGGCTTATTCAAGTAAGTCCAACGTTCCAGAGATGGATCTGTGCAAATCACAGGAACTTTATACTGTTAAAAAAAAAAGCATGCTCATCCTCACCCACTCCACTGGAAATAAGACTATAATTCCAGACATAAGGAATCAGTGAGGAGCACATCCCAGGAAAATGCGTAAGTACAAGGCTTCACAGGCAAGTGTTTTGGCAATTTAAGTTTCCCACTTCCTAAGCCCTTCCCCTCTATAACCTAACTGAAGATAACAAACTGCTCCTTTCTGTATGTGCACAATAGCTGACACTTTACACATAAACTTAATTTCTAATTTAGTTCTGGAAAAAAGAGAGAGAGAGAGAGAAGGAAATAGAAACAGGTTCAAACACATAACGTGAATAAACAAAATAAATTGTGCATGTATGAGATGACCTTCTCCCAGGACCCACTCTTGACTGGCTTCACATTTACCATTAAAATCTAAAGACCAAGTAGAATAACGTTATATGTCAAAATAATACCATTTATTGTTCCAGTAACCTGAACACCAGACTGCAAATTTCTTTTACTTCCCTCTTTCCTGTTTCACACGTCAGTATTTTACTAAGTAATAAAGGACTGATCAAAGCTGAACAGTGGCCCTGTCCACTTACGGAAGGCAGATCCAGCAAATGTTACACGATGACCATGTTTTCCATAAGCATGGGGAAGAGAAAGTAACACCTCTTTTCCAAGAGAAACTCTTAACAACAGAGAGAACAAACTATTCATATGACATATCTACAGCAGAACCTTCTTAATCTGTTGTTTTTGAAGTATCACCACAGTAAAAAGGAACTTTTTATAGATGTCCAGGCATTATTCACTATGTGTACATTATTTCTCATATTCCTCATCATGAAGCACATCTGTATGTGCAGAATAATATGTACACTCACTGTACACAGGCTTGTGTTTGTGCAACATGCAGGTGAGAGGCAGGGGAGAGCTGGAAGGAAACGCAACTGCTAACAGCTATAAGATGAAATCACAGACCCATTAAACTGGTCAGGAAGAATGGAATCAGCTGTCCTGCTCATTACTTTCCACTTCAATTCCAGAATAATGACAATCAGAGAGAAAAAAAAAGAAAAAAAAAGAGGAACAGACAAAACAAAATGTCAGAGATAGAAAGTAGGTGTTTGCCACAGAGAGCAAGGAATCAGAGACCTCTGTGCTGTGGAACAACAGCTCCATGCCTGGGAAACTAGGAAGATCTGAGGTCGGCTCTATATGAGATAATTTTTTAAGTGAGACAGGGCTTTTCCTGAAAACAAAGAAACAAGGGAATGCAGCTTAGGAAAGCATGACAGGTGGCTGGAGGGATCAGTATGAGAGACAAACAGCCTCCTTTAAAACCAAGACTGTATCAACAGTCCCATCAGAGGTGCAGTTGGCACCTGCATATCTAGCTATCTTCCAACCAGCCCAGGTACTGGGAGCACCAGTGCCCCCTCTGCCACATCCATGGGCCCAGGCAGACTTGCACAGCTTCCAGCTCTGGCCTCATCTCTGCCACAGTAATTCCCCTTCAACCCAGTTCCCCTTGCATTAGGTAGTGCTTTCATCCCTGCATTATTAAGAGAAAGGTGGAATATTCCTGACATGCTGCCATCTCCACTGACCAGCTTAACTCAAGGAGATAAGATGCATATTATCAGTGTTCCTCTAACAGCCTGGAGATGCAGCCCCTCTCCTCCTGGTTCTTTGCAAGCTGAGGTACAAACACAGAACATAAGCAGAGCCTATTTTGTACAGTTTCCATGGGACAGGATTTTAGCATGGTTACATATCAGGTCCATAGTACTGTGAGGATCTGCTAAGGAGTGTACTGTACCTCCTTTGCTTGGTAAAACCACTCTATCTACTCATTATTCCATATACACCACATGGAGGGTTAGAGACATTAATGACTTCAGACAAGATGCAGATGATACAGCTAAGCGATGTCCAAGCCTCTTTCATGCTTGCTTCTCCTGCTGCATTTTCTGTCTCCATGGGCCACATTGTTCACTTGCGCCTGTGATATGCAGAAACGCCACGGCAAAGCAGACAACAGCACTTCATTTTCTGAGTCAGAGAGGGGGAAGCAAGGAGAGTCACAGGCATGTCTTAGTCACAGAACCTCTGGGCTCCTTCAGAGAAGATGTCAAAGAGAAATTCCTTCTGCCCATCCCTGCTGATCAACCTCCTTCAAGCTGATGAATCCATGCATTCTTCTGAAAGAGAAGCGCCGTAGCACCTTGATATACATTCGAAGGTGTCTGAGAGCTCTCACAGCTGCTGTTTACCTACACATCTGCCATTCAATCCACATCAAAATCATTGCTGTGAAGTATGCTGGGATATCTCAGATATGAAAAGCGTTCCATGAAACCAATTTCTATTCCGATTCAAATGTAATTGCATTGAAATGTTCTTACAAGTGTGCTTGCTGCTGCCAACATCTTCACTGCTTTTTTAAAGGTAATTAATTAATGCTTTGTTGCTTTTCATCTGCATTAAAGTGACAGGAGGGTTATGGGAGGGCGATTGGTTTTGACAAGGAGAAGTCTGTACGCTTTATACTATGCAATGCAGGGGAGGGAGATACACAGTGGGAGCTAATCTCACTCCTCCTGCCTTCATTTAAACACAATGTTTAAATGCATTTAAGTGACGAAGGCATTTAACAACCCTTCCCAGAGGGTTCTTCTTGCTGTTTGCACATGAGTTTGCCAAATTTAATGCCATTTATGGCAGTTGTAAAAATGCTGCTTCCTAATATCTCCTAGCCACCGCAGGCAATTGTCTCGTGACGCCATCTCTGAAACAACAAAACATGCTCAGATCCATTGCACAAGCACAGTCAGAGAAGAGACTTCTGCAGGCTAAAATGCTGTAATGGAGGAAGAGGGGGAATTCCTTTACCATGGTTTTACATAAAAATACTTCCAATACATATTAAACTTCTATACTGAAGTAGCATCCGGGAGCTCCGCCCACAGATGAGAGACCCATTGTGATACAGAACTGTACAAGCTCCTCAGAAAAAAGAGGTCTCCTCTCCCAAGGAGCTTACGTCTGAGTTCTAAGGCAGGGAACAACAGATGGAGACAGACAGGCAGATGGAAAACAAGACAGCGCTGTCCACATCCTCAGCACTGATCTCAACAGAGCGGTTGCCAAGCTAAAAAGTTCTGACCAGCAGAAAAACTTTCTCAAAGTCCATGGATATGGATGAGGGCTTCTGGGCTTAAACACATGTCAAATTTCAAACTTCCCTGTCCAGAAAGGGAACAGTCTCAAATTCATCTGTGCACTAAATTGACCCAGACCTCAGATGAATCTTCTTCATTCAGAAGATCCTCTAGTCAGAGCTTTAAACCCACTGCATAATGCCAAGACAGAGGCTCTTCCTGACCAAAGGATTCAAGCTGGCAGTGCAAACAGCACTGGTAGAACCAATATCTGTGTCAGTAGTAGCAGCCATACTATAGCAGCCCCCAGGGACCTTGACAAGGGCAAGGTGTCACTGTGCTAAGTGCATGGTGCATGAATAGGCCCTTGGCAAACAAAAGCTTACAGCCTAAATACATCAACTGGACAATTACCTCCATTCTACAGGTGGTGAAGTAAGATAATTTAAATGATGTGATAGGCACCTTACCGTAAGACCTTCTAGAAAAATGAAGAAGGAATCAGATGAGTTTTCCCTTGTTCATTTTTTTAACATTCTTCAGATGCTGTGGTCCATCATTAGTGCACATTAGACCCAAGAAAAAACAAAATCAGAGAGCAGAGAAGAGATTCTGAAAATGTGTGTAAATCAAGCTGGATAATATTCCAGGACAGGTATTTCAGACTATGTGGACACCCAGCATGGAAGACAAGTCATTCTACTCTGGAATAAAAAGCCAACACTGGAAGAATAACAGCTTTATATGAATAGCTTATTCTGTCATATCTGCTCTGATCCACCTCGCTCTATAGACAAAGTTTTGATAATGCTCATCCATCTTTAAAAGGAAAGTTGACCAAAAGCTCCTCACTCTCCCTGCTTTGCCTTTGAGTTTCTGTAGAAGAAAATATCAGCTGAGAATGCAAATGGATTCCACTACAGGAGCTGTAATTCTCTGCTGTAGAGATGCTGAATCATTTGAAACCTACAAGGAAAAACATATTCACTTTCCAAAGAGCACATAACTGAAAGAAACCTCATCCTGCAGTACTGCAGACACCAAGAGCACTCATTCTCTTCCATAAACCTGCTCAAACTTAAAACTAGTTCTCTTCTCCCTCCTGACACCACTCCTACTAGAAAGCTGTCCAAGAACCCCACTAATATGGCTAAAATGCTGCTTCTAATTTCTAGCCTACTTTCATGTAAGGCCATTTGACATACATTTGTTTTTGTGCCAGTATCTTCCTTTAGTTTAAATAATATTTCTCTCCCTAGTAATTATCCCTAATGAATATGCAGACAACCAGTACAACCTTTCTTAGACATCTGTGTAGACTAAGTGGAGCTCTGTTAGGCTGTGCTATTCAGACAGGCTCTCTCAAATGCTGACCACCTTAGTACTCATTCTTTGTTTGATCTCATCTTTCATGAACATGGCTGGTGAGAAATGTCACGACCAGCAGCTAGGATCAACTTTTGAGGTCTACTGAAAGAAAAACATGCAATCTTTTATTTTAAAGCATGTTTAGTAAAACAGGCCCAGTAAAGGAGAGTGGTCAAGGACGTCCCACTAACCATACTTGAGGCCACATAATATATGGTGAGCGTGAACAATATTCCACTAAGACATAACAAAGTCTTCTTTCCACAAATGAATCACATACAAAGAAAGGTAATGCCTATTTCTTAAGGCAGGAAAGGGTCAGCAACAATAATTCTGAGTACCCTCCTCTCCATTAATCCTCTCAAGCTCTAATATCAAAGCTGAATGATGACAGTTAAACGTGAATGCTAGTTCTGGTTTTGTTGATCATTTTAACAGATGGACTGGGGAAGGTGTGGGTGTGCTGTGAAATGGCAATTACTGCAAAGAGGGAAATGCAGTTGGATGAAAAGGGATAAAATCAAGAAAAGGAACAAAGCAGAGAAGGGAAGGGAAAAATAGAAGAAAAAAATTCTTGTGACCTTACATTTCACTGTATTCTTCTGCTGAATTCACCAGTGAGATTGAGCAAATGATCAGTAATGGTAACAGCTACATCTGTACTTATTGTACCCAAGCCACAATTTCACTCAGATGTCTGTATAAATATCAAATTGATTCAAGTGAGATATTTTCTAGGAATAGAGGCTTCCAAACAAACCCACATTTATACCCTTTTTCACAGGACACAGCTAAAATAGAATGCAGATCTCTTCTCAAAATGAACTATATATTCCCAGCTCCAGTGCAGTAAACAAAGAGCTCCCTTCTGCCTGGCAATCTAAGCAACTGCCACGCTAACAGCGTAGACGTGTGACAGCAGCAGGGACAGCAAGCTGAGAGACCCTAAAATAATGAAAATAAGACTGCAGCTAATAGCAAAGAGCTATCCATTTTTCCTCCCAGCTCCCAGCTCTCAAATATGTTTTATTTCAAACTCTTATTCACAACTGACTGGTTAGTGCTTGTCAATAACTAACTGATCTGTTTTTTTCCTCCCTCCCTAAGGAAATAAGAACTTAATTTTGATCAAGGTGGTGGGGGGGAGGGGAGGAGGAGAGGGGAGGGGGGAAGCTGTGCGTGTCACTCTAGGATCTTGATTTACCTTAACCGTTTTTTCTCTCATGCATGTACATTCTCTGCTTTATTTCACAATTCAAAATGTTTAGGGACTCTGTTCTACAGAAAAACTCAGTCAAAACAATCTGAAGAAGAAGATCTAACATCTGATGATCCGCTCCCTGACATACTCAAACCATCGGCACTAAGACCTTTAAGAGAAAAAAAAAACAACAGAAAAACTGTTATGTTTATATTATGGAAAGGAAGCTGAGCTAGAGAGGAACTTGGTAACTTTCTTAGTCATGGAGAACAGCTGTCTCACGTCTCAGTGTATAGCCCTAACCTCTGCAGTGTTCCTTCCATAAAAATACTTGGAAAAATGTTCTTTCTTTCTTTAAAGCTCTGTTTAAAATGGGCCATTTAAAGTGCCTAATTTTATTTTCTCCAAGTGGTGCTACTTATATACTGCAAATATGATGGCTACTGAGTTTGCAAAAGTAGGGATACCAGTAATAGCAGGAAGAACTTTTCACCTATGTCACCAAACAGAGCATGACCTGGTTTCGTAATGAATGAAAGAAAAACCCAGCTGCAGCTGTCAGGTAGTACTGTAAAGAGAGTCGTGAGGGGAGTTTCAGTTAACTTCTTAGCAGACAGGTGTCTGCATCCCAAAAGCACCATCACAGCTGGCACAGACTGATGCTGTTGTTAGCAATCTCAGCAGAGAGGCCAAGCAGTGATATGAGAGTTTATTTATAAATATTTTAGCAGACTGAAGAACCCAGGAGGAGTTTTAAATTTACATTTCTTTATACATACTCCCCCTCAGAATCTGTGAGCTTAGTAAATCTGTACAAAATCATCACCACAGCCTGACAACAGGATTTACAAGGGCAATGTACCCATAAAGGCAAAAGCCTCCACTGACAAACAGGCAATCTTGCTTTCTAAAATTATTTTAATTGCTATTTTTTTTTTAATTCCTCAAAACATTAAGACAGTGTTAATGGAGGATACAATCACTACACAGTGCTTACCCTTGCAGGGTCTCTGTTGAAGTGATGGGATGTATACTAGATGCAAAGACTCAGTGCTGAATGCCAGGAGCTCAACACAGTGGACCTAATCACGCTCAGGACCACAAGGCACAAGATGAAAGAGCAGACTGGAAAACATTTGCTCTGAAGGCTGCTAGATGATAACGCAGAGCAAATGCAGGGTAAAATACAATTCAGGTTGCATGGCATGAAGTGAGAAGCCACCACTTTTCTCAGAAATGCAAGAAAAGCATAGTCTGTTTAACAGCAAAGCTTCAAATAACAGTCCTAACAGTTTTGACCGTCAAGCAAGTTAGATCATGTCCCTGACAAACTGCTGTACCAGCCAGGAGAGCCAGACAACGCAGGTGGACTCCAAAATGTGCTAATGGGTCAGTAGCACTGTGATGATGGTATGAGGGATTTCTTTCAAATGCCACTGTTACATGTGAAGGAGAATTATGAGGCTAGAGAAGAAACACAAAGGTAATCTGCCCTTCAAAAGAGGAAGTAACTAACTTCTTGCCAAGGACTCCACCAACTCCACTCATTCTTTGCTCAGGAGAAAATATGCAGGAGTGGCAGTAAATCAGCAAGTTACGCTAGTTATTCAACTGCAACAAGCGGACAAATGTAACCCTGCTCACGTGACTCGCAGCAAATGCCTTCTTACCGTGAGACGTTTCGAGGCATCCACTTCAATCATCCCCCGCAAAAGGTTCTGACAGTCCGGGGGGATAAAATGTGGCATGTGGAAAACTCCACGTTTCACCTTCTCCAACAGTTGCCGCAAGTTGTCGTCATCGAAAGGCAGGGCACCCTGCAGGGATGTAACAGAGTGGTGGATGGGAGAGATGAGCGAAAGGGAATTAGACAGGGCAAAAGGAGAAAAGCCAGGATAAACATGGTGGGAGAATGGAAAAGAGGAAGTCAGCTCATAATGAATTATTATAATAAGTGAAAATAGATAATTTCTTAGTGATGCTGTTGTTTTCTACAATATAGGAAACAATACTGAGGACCTAGTATTTTTATTAGACCTTTAATTAGAAAATGACTACCAGTATAAAACATAATACAAAATATGAAATTGCCTTTCCAGGCAAATTCACCAAAGATGCTTGGATTCACTTAAATTCAGCTCAAGCTTTTGATCTGCTGGTATTCCTCCTGGGCATACTTTCACAGCAGCAATGTTTATCGTCTCCTTATTTTTAATCTTCCTGAGACACATTTATTGCAGACACTGAAAAGGAGGTGAACAGCATTTGAGAGACTTTCAGAAAAGAACATCATCTTTCTGATGGAGCAGTGAAATGACATAGCAGAAAGAAACCCTGACTAGCATTAGCCTTTGGAAGCAACAGACATTCTACCTGTTTAATATACTCCATCCAGTTCCCATGCTGTGGTCAGGTCATCAGTTCCTACTACTTCCCTACTGTAGCTCACTTACATGAACGGCTTGAGTTTTTTTTAGCTGAAATTACGTTTTGAATAGATCTCCAGCTTGCCACAAAAAGCAGCAAAAGACCTATCCTTGCTGCAAGGACAAAAAGGAAAAAGAGAAGTTGAAATCTTTAGGATAACTCCACCGACTGAAGCTGATACCCTTTTATAGCAAGTCTGCACCTTCCTAGATATTCTCACTTCCTGCTTTCACTGCTTAATTCTAGTAGGTGCCAAGCTTCCTCGATTTCCAGGATGGTCTGTGGGAAGCTGCAAGCTGTCAGCTGCTGTGATAATGAAGCTTTAAGTTGTCGATTCTGGCACTGCTCTTACTACAGTGAGTAGTGCATCTGTACAAGCAATCCTGTGTCTATGGTTTACAGAGATCAACAGCCCCATTTACAGAAGCCTCAGAAAGCCCACCTGATGGCAGCCGCTACCGAGCACTATTTACTGTTGTTTGTTCATTCAAGCGGCCTTGAAGAGAGAGCCTACCTTTCTTCTGTAACCAGTCTCCTGAGTTACCTACTTTTTTCTTAACCGTTCCAGACTTAAAGGAAAATCGATTCTGATAGTTCAGTACTTTGGCTAACACAATTTAAACCACTATGAAGTCAGCAAGGCTGCTTTGTGGCATTTCCTGAAGGTAACAACTACAGCTCTTTTATTACTACCATCTGCTATTACAGCTTGAGACTTTTTTGTAGGGTTTGTCCTGACGTAATTAACTGGAGAGCCCTGCACTCTCCATCAATAACAGACTTCTTTCAATCGTTTCTCAGGCTCATGTATATATGTAGGAGCAGATGAAGATGCAGCAACAGAGAGACACCAAATCTTGACAGAGAATCCCCCTGAAAATGAAAAGCCACTCCTACAAATCCTAACCATCTTGACACATTCTCTCTTTTATTCTTACGAATTCAAGAAGTTGTATTAAGAGCTCATACAGTTCTATTTTATCAGCCATGAAAATAGCTGCTCAGGAGCAATAGATGACCAGGTGCTACCTAGTGAGATAGTTAAAATACTTCCATTGCAACATCAGCATAAAAAATCTAAAACTTCAGAAATGTCAGTGAATTATAACTACTTAAAAGAAAGAAAGAGTAAGATCAGTTAAGGTGAATTACAGCACCACATTGAGATTACTTCAAGGTATTTTGATTCAGGCCATTAAAAAAATTATCAGCATATTTTTTTGAAACAAAAATCCTTTAAAATTTTCCAGTATATTAAACAAAAAATAATGTGCAGTATCTAACTCTGATTGTACACTGTACAAGCGCTTTTGTCAAAATAAAACATTTAAGTGATTAGGTTTACTAATAAATGTAAAATGCAAAATTTTACTTCAGTCTTGTTATTTTTATAATTGTAGATGATCACCTGAACTATTATAGATATAAAAAACTCAACATGCACATAAAATCTATTATTCTATACAGCATTCAGTCTGCACATGATATATGCTTATGTAAACATAACTATATTTTCCTACATTATACTATGGAAAGTGGTAACAAATGCCAAGCCTATCTGCCTTCAGCTGGACATCCAATTGTTGTATGTTTAGAAGAATTACATTACCACTGCAAATCATAACAAATTCCATAGAGAACTGCAACTTTGGTCGAAAGAAGGAAAAGTTACAAGATACCACATTTTGAATACTAAAGAAAGGATTACTGAGCCAGATGGAAACTAATTTAAACTTTGTACTACTGGCTCAGTTTTGTATTCCCAAGTGTACCAAATTAAAATGTAGCTCAACACTTGCATGAAACCAAATTGTTGCACTCAGATCTTCTTTTGATAAAGAAAATGAAACACATATATATATACAGCAGAAGAAACAAACACTTCCCAAACCCAGTCGTATAAGAACAACTTATTTGACACTCTCTGTATCCTCGAGCTGAAACCCTGCACATCCTTTCTAGTCAAAAAATGTGCTGCAATATCGCAACACAGCAAAGAGCATTTATGGAGACAAATTTTTGATGCCTGTCTATGCTCTCTTGTGCAGGGCAGCAGCATTTCAAAGAAAAAGTGAGATCTTCCTCATGCTTTTCCTTTGGGGCTGATGTAGAAATAAGAGGAAAGGATGCAACGGAGGAATACAAAAATAGGGGAACTAAGAAAACTCGTCCGTACATGATGTCAACAGTATCACCATTAAATACAGTAGCATTTTCGGATTTTTATTCTCTTTTTAAAGGATAGTGCAAGGAAGATGACTCACCACTAGCAACGCAAATAAAATGACTCCACAGCTCCAGACGTCTGCTTTCCTTCCATCATATTTTTCTCCCTGCGCAGCAATGACACAGAGGTTTAAAAGAGTGCTCACTAGTAAACAAAATAATTATCCTTGAAGAACAAGAGAGGGGAGAATGGGAGACCCCACATTTCAATTCAGCCACCTGCTTCCCGAGGTGGCCTTCCCAACTAAGAGGCCATGACATAGCCCATTAACTGAATTTTTATGAACATCAGTTTACAGTTTATCTGGGATCTGCAAGAGTAGGCTCAGAAGCAGGAGCAGGGCAGGAATGGTCGACAATTCACAAGTGATTAGACCTGGCACTTAAACAGTGTCAGAGGTGCATTAAGGACTTCAAGAAGGTGTTTTCCTCTTCCCTGGTTCTTCAGGGAGCCTGTCATCAGTCACATTATTTGTGAACTCATAGTATTGTCTGGACAGCCTCTTCTGTATGCTTCCTGCTTGGCTTTACATTACAGATATGCTTTAAAAGAGGGGAATCTTGGCCACTGAAACGTTGGATACTTATTTTCAGAGGACAAAGGGAGAGCAGAGGGAAAGGACAGTTCGTATTGTTTAACGGAAACCAACATCAGTGACAGTCAACCTTGGTTCTGCTACTGAAATGACAGCTACATCAGAGACAGGAAAGCGTAGGGGACTGCATCCCCTGGATGGAAAGATCAAGTTAAACAAGGCTAGTGTATTTCTGTCTGATCACGTGGCACAAAGGGTACCGTGAGAATAACACATGATCATTTCCCTCATACAGTCAATGCTTGATTCAGGGCTGAGCCAAACAAAACTGTAGTTACGCTCTTTGTGTCCTTTTGAATGCTGTCTGCCTTGGACAGATTTCCTGTACAGGGGGTACATCTGCATACTTGCAGTGAGTGACAGTTTAAAAAAATCTATTTATACATACTAATGTTAACCAACTTACCCGGATAACTTCAGGGCAAGCATAATGTGGTGATCTGAAACACAAAATACAGTTAAACAAGCATGTAACAGCCTGGTATTTATGGATTATGTGTATTTCCATTTTGTTTAGCAAAATCATGATTGGCTCGCTTATACAGAATGTAAGTGTGCAAAACCAGCACTTTTTTCCTTACCTCATTGAGAACACATTTCTAAGAAACTCAGAAAACAATCAAGAACTAGCATAATGCAAAATTCTATGGCCCTGCTTAAAAGCAAGGAAGGGAGAGCAGACCAGGCATATTCTGTGACTACATAGAATTCCAGCCCTCTAACCCCACCCTTTAAGTTGGCCTTGTATCTAATTAGAAGGAAGGCACACACTGGATAGCCTTTAGTAAGAAAAAAGACAGAACAATAATTTCAGACCAAAACCATGCATCCCTAAACCATGTCTTGCATCTCTTCCGCTAAGATTGCTCTCAGCTACTCCTCCGGTCATAAAAGCTGCCAATACATGATTTTAACATGTAATTTTTTTTTTTTCCTTTTAAAAAAACTAAACAGGCTCATGGATAGTAGTACTATTACCTAGTGAGTTAATACATTCTTTTTGCATCCTTCTACCCATATATCTCTGGTTTGATTCCTGGCTGAGAATAGTTAATTACTTCGACTTGCCAGGTAATCATTTTAATTCCCAAAGATTATAGCCACTGCTATTTATTTTATAGCCTTCATTAAAGTAACCTGACAAGTAAAAGGGATGCAAACTGTCTGAGACCTGTGTGCAAATCATGCTATTGTTTATACTGACACCTCCCAGCAGTCCCTGAGCCTGTCTTCATTTGTGCATTTGTTTCTTGTGACAAACGCAATCATGGCTGGGCAATACCTGTCTCACAAAGTAATGAGCAAAAAAGAAGCACAGTGAGGTTAGCTTTGTGCTAGGATGCTACATTAATGCCCAGCGAGACAGCCCACTAATTGAATTTCCATACACACTACGCTTATATTATGGCAAAATATCATCCCATGGGCATGGAACACCCTGATTTGGTATCACAGCTCTTGGCAGATCATCATAATAAACTCCGGGTACACTTGGGACTGCAGCTACCTTGACAGCAAGGAGAGAGAAATGCAGCTGCTCCCTCAAAAATTTTAGGGAAGGTGGAATTCAGAAGTTTAGTACAGTATTTAATTCCCCCCCTTCATTAAAGAGATTATCACAGGTATTCTAACCAGGTCTATCTGCTCAGTAGTGATCCCAAGCATCTTAATTTAGACTGGATTTTAAAAACCTCAATTCAAGAGTCAAAACAGGTAATGAAAACCAGAGCCTTGCCTTGGAGAGCTGGCCAGAGTTGGCCCTTTGGAGACCAAAAAGAATGGACTTGTGCCTAGTGGACAGGATAGACTACCTAGGCTCCCTTGGCAGCTCTGTCACTGGCAGCCTTATGGACACAGACAAGGTTACTTAATGTTTTTAAAAGCTGTGGCTGGTCACAGTTTAAAAAAGGTGACCAGAACCTCACCATGAGTCTACTCTTCTGACTAAAATAAGAGCAATGCCACCACAGCTTTCATACCTCACAAAAGTTTGTGTACAAGGCTTTAACCTTTTCGGGCAAAAGCTTCTATAGTAACAAAGAGCACAATGGCAACAATAATGAAATAAAGCTAAAGCAGGCAGTAATGTTAATAAAACTGCTATTGCTCGACTAAATGGAGGTGATTTGGGAGACTTGCAGCATATCACTGGCCACTGCCAGAGAGAAAGTGAGACACTGAATTGCTAAATGTTATGTACATGTTCCCAGGTCTCCAACGTATATTGTTGCCAGCGAATTTGCTTCTTCATAGCAATCCAACAGCTACTCTACAACTGTTTGTTTTAATACCCCAAAGCCTTAACCACTAAACAGTCATGCCACTGGGCTAATGCATGATTTTACAAGCTTTTAGGAGTCAAGTCAAATTATTCTTGTGAGAATGCTTGACTAGTGATAGTGTCTTTTTTTCATATCATAAAATGGTGTAGAGTGTACAGGCCATCCTTAAGGTACACATGAATCAGAATTAAGGAGCAGCACCAGAACTGGGACTGCAACCCAGGACTGCACAAGCACAGCCAGCTGTCACCAGTGCTAGATTGCTTAGACACAACAGTGAAAGAGGGCAGTATGGGAGCTGTAGGGCAGGTAGTAATGCAGCTATAATTTGGAAAAACACATGGTAGCAGAGAGAGCATAGGAATTACATCGGATCATGGACATTCACTCAGTTTAGTCACTTCAGAATACAAAGACTAGTTCTAACACGTTCTACATAACTGAGTCACATTAGGATTACCAGAAAACATGTCAGTGGATAACAAAGGAGTGAAGACACAATCTAGGTAACTGTTGAGCTCCTGTCACTTGGTGTGTCTGAGTTTCTCAGTCTTGCAGGCATTTTAGCTTCTGTCAGGTACAATGCTACCACTGCCTTTCCTACAGAAGGTGAGTCACAAAGACACATAGTAGGTTAAATGGCTATCACACATGGTGTCTGTGGCTGAGATAGAAACAGAAGCCAGTCCTCCCAAATCCTGCATGGTATCCTGTACAGTTCAGCACCATCCTTCAGCACAGTACTTTTTAGGTGGCCATGCCATCTGGGGTGCACTGGAAGAGTCAGTATCTCAATTTGCAGAGTGCTTCTGAGTTTTTATTTGTATACAATGACTCCAACAAAGATTTCATAACTCTTAATTGTGGATGCTAAGCAATGTAATCATCTTGACAGCTTCCTGTTCTAACAATCTTGAAAAGGAGAATGTAAGCATTGTGAAGAACCCAAGACAGGTATATATCTATCTGTGTGTCCCACTAGCAAATGCACTTAAAGCATTCACCTTCCTGAGATCAGCTGGAGTGCAGTGGAATCTGCGAGGTGTCTTACAAGGCACTATGGAAATTCTGCTAAAATCTAGGTGAATAGGTGGAGAAAATGCTATAATAAATCCTTTGAACAAGTTGGATTGATTCAATCATTCAACAGCTGCATTGCAACTGCCCAGAGAGCACAGGTTTCTGGCACAGCCATTCTGAATTCTTGCTAGCACACACTAGCTAGATATCTGCAGCATTATCTTGGCTAACAGCTCTAAAAGGGATCCTCTGGCCAGCCAGAATCCGTAGAAAACTCATTTCCATGCTGTCAATCACAGAGCAACTTCAATTGCTTTAAAGAGAAAACTCAAATTTAATCAAAAATCTATTTATCTTTCTACAGAGTCATGAATATTTCTTTGGCTCTTATCACTAATTATTCAATATACGTGTGTCAAGAGCAACATTCCCTGACTCTTCCCCTAGGCCATCTCCTCATCGTTCAGCTACATCTCTGTGAAGCAAAAGCTACAATCTGCCCTTGATAAAAAATAAGTATATCGCTCAGCAAGATCAAGATTCAGTTGCTGCCTGCAGGTACTGCTGCAAAAACACACCAGTGTTGGCAGTGTTTATTTCAAGGGTGATGTGAATTTTCCCAGGCTAGTCTGCCTGTGGGCAGGATGGGCTCTCTGAATGGTCATTCACAGCTATGACTCTAGGACACAGCAATCTGAAGGATCTTGAGGGACCTTAGCAAAGCATTTACGTGGGATTTCAACCAGAGGACATACGCCAGAGTGCAATGGCGAAAACCAGGACAGCCCTGGACAGGTTAGTCAGGCACTCCGAAAGAAATGTATATACCCTTTGTGTATCTATCCTGAATTTTCCCTGAGAAGCTAGAAAAGTAGTTCTTGATCTTTGTGCATCAAGATACAGCGCAGCTACAGTAGATCTGAGACAACCAGGGCTGTATCTTCTGTGCAGCTGTGGTGTGCTTGTGACCTACATGTCTCATTATGCAGGTAAGAGAGACCTGCACTGTGCACACATAAATCAACTGTCCATGTATGGTTTATCTGGGAATATACAGTAACTGCTTTTCCAGATAAGCAGTTGGTTGATCAAGAAGAACAAGGAAAGCTGTGTGATCCTGCTCTACAGTGTGACCAATCATGTGTTACACTGCCTGATGGGTTCCCAGGTCCCATCAAAGATGAGTGCTCATGCCTTAAGATGGTATTATCTGGGGAAGAAGAAAAGTTTCTCTGAGTGCTGTTCTTTAGGCCTTACAGCTGGAGGCAGAGTTTCTGCAGAGAGGGAGGAACAAGAAGTCTCCTTCCATCTGTTTTTCCTATGCTTGAAGTTACCTTGACACACGAGGTTGTAAAGGTGCACTGAAGTCCTCCCACTTCTAGCTGTTCTTGCTGTTGCTCAGATGCTAAAGTCCCTTCCTCTCTGCTTCTAATCACCATCCCCAAACCAGCTTTCAGAGACAGAAGCTACCCACTAGCACAAAAGGCTGCCTGTGCTTTCTCCCTATTCTGGGTAGCAAAGGGCTGAGATGAAGGGGAATGCCAGAGGAGTAGCAAAATAGATAAAGGGAATTCTTCAGGACAAGGACATATGTTAGAGCATCCTGAGTGGAGAAAGTGGCAGCCACAGATCGCACAGAAAAGCAAGACAGAGAGAGACTGAAGAAGTGGTTCCAGCAGCAGTGGGTAGTTAAGGCTGCAGTGAAGGCACTAGCTGTAGGTAAGGCTGTAATTAAGGTAGCAGCTGTAGTTACGGCTGAATGCTATTTTGCCATTAAAGCTTCAACTCAGTCATTTAGCTTTATATGAGAAAACTCAAGGTCTAGTCCTCAGCCATCTCACAGCTGTTCACTCCTCAAGTGCAATTACATTTTTCGGGAATCTGCAAATCGATTCATTAATTAATATATCAGTTCAAATTATTAAGATTTTGAACCTCTAAGAGATCTTAATTTTAAAAATGAAACAGATCCTTGTATTAAATGGGCATAAAGATTGCAAAGTTAAGTATTCAAAAGTTAAGAATTGCTAAAATAAAGCCTGAAGAGGTTATACTGTACTCTGTGGGTAAGTCAGGATGGGGCAGTGGTTGTATTGCTGTCCCCAGCACTTTTGTTTCACTCTTGGCCAAAGCTGGGA